AGACATTTTCTTCAGACACGCTGCAATCAATATGTCAAAAAAACTGACACCACAGTTGGGGGTGTCCTGCTACTACAAGATCTTACCACAAAAGCGTTTATCCAAAATGACAGATTAGTGCCTAAAGAAGATTTTTATGAAAAGAAATGAGAACTATCTCCACACAGAAGTAAAAACTCTGAAAAGCAATGTTACTACTACAAATTCAATAAGATTTTTTTTTCCCTAGCAATTAAACATATTTCCTTTTTTTTTTTTTTTTGAAAAAAAAAGTTGATATCTGAAGTGAGAACAAAATTTTAATTGATGGATGTATTAATTAATTACAGGCTGTTTAGACATAAAAGACGAATGCAAAATATAAGAGTGGGTATTAAATTATCATTACATGTATGCTACTTATGCAGTTTTAGAGGCAGTTACAGATTTCTGTAATTGTGAACCAGTTATTTGCTTCACAAATTTTACAGATTTTTGGACACGTGTCTGTAGAGTAAAGATAGCTTTTGGACAAGTGATATGAAAATCACACAGCAAATAGCTGCATTGGAAAGGAAACTGAATTTCTAGTAATCTCAAAACTTGTCAGTGATGGCAAGTAAAAGTGTTTATTAAGGGTCCACAACTCTAGGCCTGAATCAGACTCCCCCTCTAACTCTTGGCCATGTTGCTCTGTTGCACATGAGCCCTGGCAGAGTTGCTCCCAGGTGAGTTATCACCCCTCTTTTCCCATGGAAGACCTCCTGTAATAGTTGGTTAACACAAGTGAGCAAACCAAAAGGAATACAAATCAGGACTGAACAGGCAGCCACTGCCCCAGGTACTCAAAAGGAAAAGGTGCTAGTACCAAGTACCCAGGTGCATGAGTAATGGAGCAGTATGCACAGTGATAAGCTACCTTGTGCTAGAAAAGCCAAAACTTACAGGAGCAAGGGAGAATGGAGATCTAGACCCTGCCTGACTTAAAACGCAAGGCAGCATTAGCTTACCCTCTGAAGGAGGGTAACAGATTCTTGCCAACAACTATGCTGGCATGCAGTCACTTAGGGATCGCAACTGGAAGGCTCACCTTCACACAAAGGGGACACGCTATCGCATGGGACCTGCTCTTTGACCAGCAGCTACAAGTAGACCAAGAGACCCCCCTGGGGAAGGAAGGGAGCCCTGGTGTCCAGAAGCGGGTCAACTCAAGAGCAGAATTTTCATGGCTAGTGAATAACTTCATATTAAATACAGAGGTGGCCACCATAGAAAAACCTTTTCCAGTCACCTGAAAGGTTCTGTGGCAGTCAGAAACCTCCACTTCAGCAGAGCACAAAGGCACAAGCCAAGGGTATAAGACCACTGCATCTGAAGTAAAACAGTTTCTATAACAGTCAACAAGGAGAGAGAAAATAAGGTCTTCAGAGGAAGAATAATCAAATCACCAATATCATCATTATGTGAGTCCCTGCAAGGGACACCAGTAAGGTATGAAAGAAGTGCACTTCCTTCCAAATAAGTATCTACAGTGCTATAGAAAAGTAGAGAAAACATATCAATTTATAATACAACTTGAAATTCCATACAAAAACTACGAAGAAAAACCCTGGGGTATTCCAGCAGCTTTGTTTGGGCATTTCAGGCTAACAGGCATCTTGGGTTTGATATTCTAAGGAAAAGACAACTGCTAAGTATCAAAATCAGTTCACAGGAAATGGGCATATTATTCTTCCCAACTGCAGGCAAACACAGGCAAACATCACTGCATCGATTTCTATCCAATTGATAAATAGGAGCCTGTTCATTCAATACTGTGCTAGAAACTGCATTTTCTGAAAAACTCAAAAGCTCAAATATTAGAACAAATTTCAGGACACAGCATGGTGTCTGCAGCCACAGTAATCTACCAGCTAAAGGAAACCTGCAAAAATAAGAACAAATTCTTGGATTCCAATGTGTTTACAAAATAGACTCACTTATTACTGGAACACATTTTTCAAACTACAAAGCAGCTGTGTATAGGAGTACAAAGGACTTTTTATAGTACAGTCTATGTCCAGGATCTGGGCACACAGTTATGAGGTACAGATTAAAGCCAATGACATTAAAAATAAACCTTGCCTCTATTAACATTAAAAAAAAATAATTCTCAAGGTTGCAAGCAATGCTTATATGATTACACAGTAATTATTTCTTCAACTACTTCTAAATTTGTAAATCACCTGAGTTGAATGATTAAGCCAATAGGAACAACAAGTAATTATTGCATATCTTTTGGTTTTGACTGCAACTTCTTTATGATAGTCTGTGTCTTCATTTATTACTCATACATTCAGAATTAATACAATGAGCCAATGACCACTGGGCAGAGTGCAGGAATCTCCAAGTTACTGAACGTATGTATATATAAGACCACAGAATCAAACTAAAGCTTCAAAGGTTCCAAATTTTTTAATAACATTTTTATTTGCCGCAAGAAATTAAACAAATTACTGAAAAAAGCTCTGATTTAAAATAGTACCTGCTCTTACTTACCATTATAAAATATCAAAGTACAGAAAAAATATACTGAAATAAATGTTCATGTCTACTTAAAACCATATTACCGTATTTACAAATAGATATACATATCTGGCAATGAAACATACACATAAAATGTCAAGTAAACTTTCAAATTGCATTTACCGTAGATTTTAAGTTCAGCTTGTTGCTGGGAAAATTTACACTTTTAGCACAGTCAACAGTTACTTTCACCTACTCAGCTTGCTTATTTTTTTCCCCCGAGGACTTCACCTATTCAAACAGAACTTCACAACTGCTTTACATACAGTTTTAAGTATTTAATATTAAAATAAACTGTAAACAGCTAAGCTTTCAACTGTAAGCGTGGAAAAATTAACAAATATCGTTAGTCAATTAGCTTGTACAGACTATGGAACTTATCAGAATAAACTAGGAATTTAAATCTTCTGAATTAATTTATTTTACCTTGTTGCAATACCAACAAAAGAAACAAACACATTGCACTCTTTATATCAGTGTGACTATAGGGAATCTTTGCCTATAATACTTTAAAAAGAAGAATGGCAGCAATTACTTTTAGACAGATTTTGAACTACTAAAATTCAAGTGACTTTTGAACTGTGGAACTATCTTCCTGTGGAGGAAAGCCAGCTATAATCTTACCTTTTGTAGGGACAAAGGTTTAGTAAACTAAACAAAATGAGGAAGTGATCTTTGGGGGATTTTTACGGCACTCTTCTGGAATAAAAAACAAATTTCCCATCGTTTTATTCTATAAAGGCAAAAGATCATTTTTCTATCACGATCATTCTGCACTTTAACATGACTAACTGTACAATCATTAAATAAATGTTACAGAAAAATTTTCAGGGAGCTCCACGGCTTTAGGGGTTAGATGTATTGACTGTATATAATGTTTGGGGAATTCTCAAATAGGCATTCATAACCATCATCAAAAGACACTTTCACTGAACTTTTCTCATGAGTTAATATTAGACTGCTAGGGAAAAAGAAGTCTAGCAAGAGTCTACAAAACTTTTAGTAGCTTATTGCATCTCAAATTTAATATACTCTGCACGTTACTTTCCAAAAACTTCACGGACAGAGGAAGGAATTCTGCAAGCTTAAGAAGACACCTAAATTTAGGAGTCTAACACTTGTTAAAGTCAATGAACACCTGACTAATGCCCTCAGAGGCACCTAAAGTGTGATTCAGCTCATCATAAATTAGATCAACTAAATTGCTCTCTAAGCTCCATTGACAGTAATGAGTAGCTCTTCAAAGGACCACAATAGGAGTTCAGGAGTTAGAGTACATGTTGACACTTAACATAAGGCACCTGAACGCGAGGACAGAAATTCCATCCTCAGTTTCCAAACTGATGTCAAGCAAAGACTTGAACTACAGCTCAATGCATGAAAAATACTGTTTTGAAACAATTTTCAGTCCAGTATGAGAAAACAAAAAGGGAGTAGGGGATTAAGAAAAGCACTTCCTACCTGAAAAGGCATGCTAAACAGCTCCAAAAAAAATTTAAATTATGGGAGTTACATATTAAACAGATGCCTTTTATGCTTTTGAAGAATGACAGCCCACCTTCTTTTAATTTCAAGGGTTGAAGTAGCCTATCTCATTTTCCTGGGAAACCTTAAAAAAAAAAAAGTGAAGCCCTAAAAAGGTACAGGATATCAGAAATGCTAGGAAAAAAAGAAACCTTATTAATGAAGAAAAAAACATGTTTTGTTTTTCCACGAAGTAGGTATGCTCTGTGTTAGTATCTACCCTACCTTCCATCTCAAGAGAAACAGGAACAACACACAATACAGCCTTACCTTCCGTCTAAGGCTGTTAAAATTCCATACACTCACCTCAGAATTATTCCGGAAATGTTTCTTTAAAACCAGACCTCCTACATTTAACACACACACATAGACTAGATTTTGAAGCAAGTAGCAAAACGACTGGAGTAACTTTAAAATTTCCCCATTTCAAATTGTCAGTGAAAATTAGAAGAAAGTTCAAGGCTAGCTGCTTTCACTTACAATTAAATGCTATGGACAATTCCATTCTCTCTGCTTTTTTGGTACAGCAAAAATATATTTAAAAATAACTTCCCTTTCAGAAGACCTCTTATTCTCATGATCCTATATCGCAGCTATGCAATCAAATTTGTGTACTGAAATAGGGAATACAAAAATACATTTAATATAATATCCTAAAGCCCTCAAAATACAATCTATAGCTCCATTATTTAGACACTGTGATTCATTATATAGGTATCTGTAGACCATGTCCTGTCCCGTAGTTGCTTATATTTGCTTTGCTAAAGTAGAAAATGGATGTTTCACCACTAAAAAGGATCCATGTAGTATTACAAAAAATTATCTGCCAGAGTTCAAAGGCTTCATTTTTTTTTTGAAGAAAGCAAGTCAACATTTTATTAAAAGCAAAGCATATGCTTTCCTCCTGCAATGAGAATAAAGGCTTGCATTACCTTCATGCACTGTTATTCCACAGTTGTCACACTGGATTATTTCATCAGCATCTTCACTGTTATCTCCAAGACAAACGCAACAAATCAAAATATGGTCCATTTTCTGGGAGCTCCAATTTTGAGACTTCTCAAGGATCAATGAGTCCTAATATTGAAAAATGAAGAGACATAGATTATGCCAGGAATTTCAATTGTATTTATAACAAACAAAACGTGTTATTTGCTCAATTTCAAACAACAAACAAAAAAAGACAGAAAATTATTTTCACAAGAATAAAAGCTTCTTTGTTGTCAAAACATTTAAACACTTCATCCACAAATATAAGAGCTGGGAGAAAGGATGGATACAATCTGATCTCAATATACATAGAGATCTGTTAAGATCGAAAGTCTTATTTCCTCAGACAGAAACATACATGTCTTTAAACCATTTATGTACTACAAAAAGGAACAAATACACACACCTAAGAAACCATTTAAAAGAAAGAAAAAAAAAAAAAGGCCAAAGGTGACCTTGAAATGTCCCAATATTCAGAAAAGTTGCTTCATTTTATTAAAATTTGCACCTTCCAAAAACAAAGTGACATGGATCTGAAAAATCTGAAAATAAACAGCTAACACAAGCCTGCCAAGTCTTCACTTACATAAAATATAACAAATTATCAACTCAGTTCTGTTTCATTGTAATGCAAATTTATATGTCTCTATGCAAAGCCATATGATTTATTAAAGCTATCACAACTTATTTTCTTCTAATTATATGCAGGAGTAAGGATTTGCAGAACAAGTACATTGCTCTGTTTTGGCAACCTTCAATGTGAACTACACTACTTAAAAAGAATGTGGCTTTTAATATGCAATTTCTCTAAGGAAACATAGAGAAGTGTTTCACAAACCAAATAAAGCTGTACGTAAATTCTAATTTTTTCATAAACACCATCTAGGCTTCCTATTATTTTCATTGTGAGGTACAGGCACTGTCTCTCTGCAAAGTTTCATGGTTTCCATACATTTTCTTTTATTTTTATACTAAAAGCAAACATTGAGCTTGAACTACCTTCACTGGTGATATGAAGGCATACAGGGAAGTGTAAAATTAGGCACACTAGTAAAAAATAATCATTGCAGGATAAAGAAATAGTAATAGATTCATAGCAGAGGCTGGCAGTTCAAGCCTAAATGGCATCCATTCAAAATATTAGAGATCTGAGAATATTCCAAAACTGTTGTGGTATCCTACCAGAAAAAAAAAAAAATACAAATTAAGGTGGAACATGCCCCCTCAAACATCTTTTTCTCATTCCAATCCCCCATTTATGACATAAAACATAACATCAATACTGTGCCTGTGTAGCCTAAGCAGATAGAAAGTATCATGAATGCTACCTGAAGCAGGCATTCTTCCTCAAGGATCTTAAATTCTCACACTAATCTATGCAATTATTTCATGATAGCCCCTCAATCTGATAGAGTAAATCTCCACACAAAATTTTCAGTGAATCATTAATGAAGTCTCTTTGTACTTTAGGTTTATCTGGGCAGGTATCTGGGAAGTAAAGGGGAGAATCTTTGCTTGATTTTAAAGCAAGATAAAGGGGTAAAATAATCTTACCACCCAAAGCTGGAATCAAATAGTTTACCTCAAGTAACAGAGGTGGCTTGCTACAATGTTTTTGACCTAGGAAAGGTCAAACACATACTTCTAGCAGTTAGGAAAGGCTTCTGGATCTCCCATCCATTTTCTCTAAACAACGTATGGAAACATGACCTATAAAAAAACCCTCATCTAGAGGTAAAAATGAAAGATTACACAACAATTCACACGGACATGCTTGCTTACAGGAAGGCCACTAATTGTAAAAAATACAAGATTCTCCCCTACAGAGTTCAGACTTATGGAGCATTTCTACCAAGATCCTTATTTTTGAGGAAAGCAAGAAACTTGCACATTTTTTTTTCAAAAATACTGTGGCCTATCATTACTCAAAATACCCACATTTAGTTTACCATTCACATTACACATAGGAAAATGGCAGTGGATACTCCCTGACTTTGGCAGATTAATTGTGCAATGGCACAGTCTTCTCAGATGCATCTCGCAGCTCTACAGCAATCGGCTTTTTCTGACAGCACCTTCGACTTAAACTGTTATTTGGCTTCACTAACAGAAGTTTAAAATAAATCTGCAATCTCTACTGTTATAGAAGCCCAAGGTCTGGTAATTAAAAAAAGAAAAGAAAAAATAACAAAACAAAACAAAACCCCAAACTATTACTTTAAATTAAATAAACAGAATTGTACTGTAAAAACAACACCAAAACAACAATAGCTGTGTAGGCAGTGAGAACATATGCAAACATGAGTGAAAAAAAAAGAAACAAGCAATGATGGAAGGTCATCAAATTTGGATCTAATGTTAGGATCCCCATCCATTATGGTTTACCTTATGTGAAGATAGCCAATAGGTCAAACAGAGCAGCAGAATGACAATTTTCTACACAGACATGGAGAGGGAGTGATCTGCAACGTATGCTGCTCTCCCCTGCTTAGACCATGTAAGCACCTGAAAGATCCCATCCCAGAAGCTGACCCTACTTGTCTAAAGCATGGGAACTTTTATGTAGAGATGGTAGCTGCTGCCAACTCCTGAACAAGTCCTGTTCCCTACCCAAGTTAGAAAAAGGATTTTAGCTGAATTTCTTCATTAACACCACGAAAATGGTTTTTCAAGCTATATGCCTACATGCTTCTAATTTTAAAGGAATAAAAAAAAATTAAAAAATAACATAGCCACCTCAGTAAGAATAGAAGAATCCCATAAAGTGGTAGCAATTATAAAAACAGAAAAGCACCATTTATCTACTAATGATGCTTGACCCTAGAAAAGAAAGCTAAGTTTGTCTTCTGTGCTTAATACAGTAGAAAAACACATAGTATTTCATTACAGCACAGGTTAAAATACTGTATATCCACACCTCAAAATATTTTTGTAAAATGTAAAAATATAAAATAAAAATCACACAGAAACAAAACCCAAACAACCCATCCCCAACACCATCCCCCAACACCCACCCCAAAAAGGAAGCAAAGGAAAGGAAGAATGCATATTAAGCACACTACTACATGTTCAGAGTTAATTACCTGAACATTCTTTCATAAATTAATTATGCATTCAGACGTGTTTTTCTAAGAACTTAGCTTCTGCAGCGTAATGAGATTCTGCTAAACTTGTCTGCTACACAGGGGTTTTTTTTTGTTTTGTTTTGTTTTTTACTATTTTAAAATGTTGTAGTAGCAGAGAGTACACTGTTATAATACACTTGAGTACCAATCTAAAAATTAGTCTATAATCCAGTCTACAGATACTCACTGTTACAAGACTTCTTGTTAAAAAGCTATTCATAAACAGTGCTTTGCTTTACATGCAGTAAAGATAAATTATCAGTTACAAAATTATAATTCGAACTTCAAATTTTCAAATTTATATTTTTTCTTTTGATCAGTGTCCTAAATCCAAGACAAGAACAGACTCTGAGGTCCATGCATATTAAGAAGCTTCGCAAAAGATACATCAGAGACAGCTCTGGGTTTTCTGAAACAGGCCTAATTTTCCAAGTCAATGGAAATGACGGGCATATTCAAAGTTTTATCCCTAAGAATATAGACTCACATCTCCATTCCGATATGGGAAAGAACTCCAAACGAAAATTGCCTATCTCTATTTGAAGTTCTGATCATTAGTATTGGTAGAGCACTTTCAGCTCCTGAGCCAAGCGAACACGGGTAACAACACTAGAATTACAGAGCTAGACAATGAAAGAAGATGCCTATACAAAAAGTAAAAAAACCCAGAATTATGCTCTTTTTTTTTTCCCAATCACAATTATTACTAGTAATTAAAACAGGACGGCTCGTTCACAATCATATATATATATATATATGATAAATAAAAAAGTATCTGAAACTGAGACAACTGATTCTTCCAAATACTCTGTTTAGTTCCCTGTCATTTTACACATTAAAATAAAGATTAACTGGAACAGCAGAACTTTAAATAGTGCCATAGCACTATCATTTATCAAATGTTATGTTGACATTGCAATTACTTCCTGACAATTGAATGTAGATTTTACAGCAACTCTTTTTACTTTGTTCAAAATTTTGCTACTGCAGGACATGAAGTCAACCATCCTGACAACCTAGTATCTTAATTTTTCCACAGGCACAACCTTTAGGCAACTGTAATTGTGCACAGGAAAAAAAGGTTGCATTATTAAACACTTAACATATAATTTTCACATTCTGCAATTAGATGATATTTAATATAATAATAACAGTTCCCAAATACTTTTTAATACTGTAAGAAATTACTTCATTTGTGAGCATTATAAGCAAACCCAACATAAATTATCATGATTATCCTATTTGATTTTAAACCCAGTGTGCATATTTCTTTACTTAGAATTCTTCTGTCAGTGAACTTAGTATTCAGACGTCGATGTTGGGCTAGGATAAAGACTAACCTATCATTTAGCTACTTTATGAATATGTCACAGATGCTTTTAACTTTTAGAACATTACAGATATGCAACATTTACGCTTAAAAGTCTCGCTAATACATGTTGATTTGCATACCGGACCTCATATTTGCTTTAGAACTAATCCAATCCCCCTAAAGCCAAGAGAAATCTCTCTATGGACTTCAGTGGCATTAGATTGGCCGAACGGTCCAAGAGAGGTTATTTAATATACAGTGCCTATTTAGCACAATTTTGCTGTTTCGCTTATTCCTGTAAACACAATTCCAGCCAATCAGTTTAACTTTTCAAATTAACAGAATAGCTACTGGGGAGTAGTTTCCATTTGTCAACAGATATATTATAGAAAGTTGGTTGCACTACCTCATTACTCTTGCTTTGTGAAAGAGCCAGGCTATCATTTGTCAACTCCTCATCATCTGCATTATTCCTGTTAAGAACTTTACTCTTCTTCTTCTTGGATCCTCCATCACTAGCTGTGCTGCTATTATCTTCTTCATTTCCTTCCTCATCATTGTCATCTTCATCACTTCCGCTCCCATCATCTTCATCATCCTCATTATCTCCATCACTCCCCTCTTTTCGCAGTGTGTTTTTTCCCTTTTTTTTCCCAGCAGTAGGCCGCCAGTCATTGTCATCTTCACTATCATAGTCATCCATATCATTTAGTTCTTCCATTGATACAAAATCCAGCAAAGGTCGGTTCCTGCGCAAATTCCATTTTTTTGGTTCATTTGTTTGCTCATCAGCCACAGCATCAGGTTCAGCTGCTTTCTCTTTCTTCTTTTTTGGCTTTTCTTCTTCATCTTCTTGCTCTTTCTTTTCAGTTTTAATTACCTCTTTGTCTGCTGTTGGCACCTCTTCTTCAGTGGAGCTTTTTGGCTGTTGCTCTTCTACTTTCTCTTCTGCTGGTTCCTCCTCCAAGATATTTTCTTCTGATTCAGTACAGGAACCTTCACCACTGTCCTTTGATGCATCTTCACTCCCATGACCACTTCCTTCAGAATCTGTTGAGCATATGAAAATTTAAAAAAAGTTCCGACACAAATGTACCCCCAAAAATAAAATCTGTTGAAGCAAGTTGTTAAACAAAAGAATGATGCATGTTCCTCCCTCATAAGGTATTCCACCTATTTTTTCAGCTGGTGTCGAAATACTGCTATTTCAAGTGGTATGTTGAGAATCTGTTAAACATGAGTGCATTTTAAGATGGCAAAAAAAAGATGGCAGAATTTATTAAATGAACGTTAAATGTTCCTTTGAACTGCAGCTCATATTAACAATAAGCAGTAGCACAGAATAATTTCCACGTGAAGTCACATCTTAAAGAAAGAGCATTCAGTTTTTAATTTCTGGATGCATTTTCTATATCTTCAAATTAAAATAGTTACCCAATAGAAGAGATTTAAAATTACAAAATGAAGAGTTTATCTAACAAGTATTAACAATAGTATGGGTAATCCCCTCACCTTCATTTTTAGTACAGGTTTGTTTTTCTGGGTTTGGGGGCTCTTTTAATTTCCAATGTTATTTCACTTATTAATCCGTCATAAGTTATGCCTCATTCAGTGCTGCAGCTGCATCACAATGCATAAATTCTAACCTTATACCACTCATATGGTATTGTTCTGTATATAGTCACTATTTCCATTAATTAACACAGGCCAATCTGTGCAACAGAAAGGAACAGAAGAGGATTTCTATGAAAAAAAAATAACAAAAATAAGGCATCTGTACTATAAAGTACATGTAAAAAATTATTGAAAAAGATGACAAGTGAACTTGTTAAATTTTATAAGCATCATCCCTCTTGACTATCTCTCATCTCATATTCACCTACTACTTTTCATTTGAAGTATTAGTTTTAATGAAGAAAAGCTCAGAAAATATTTTTTTAAATTAACAAGAAAACATAAAGTTGCCTGATCCAACACAGGGATCAATTAGGTAATGGCTACAGTTTTCAGTTTGTTCAGAGCCATCACCAAGTTGTTGATGCATTGTCACATAGATGCAAAGAAGAAACACATTGATGCTTGCAAATTAAAAAAAATCCTTAATCACATTAGTTACCTACACAAAAAAAACCCCACCACTCAGTATCACCTTACACACAGAATTTCTGTGCACATCTCTCTCTGTATAAAGCCAAATAAACAAACAGTGGGGCCAGTGTGCTACACGCTTCACATGGCACTTATTTCTACCCCACAGAACACGGACTAGCCTGTAACTCAACTGTTACTTCGATATAATGGATAGTTTTGTCTTTTTCTGTGTATACCTGTATGCAGAAGTATTTGATGAGGAGATGAGATAATTATCAACCAAAAAAAAAAAAAAAAATCCATCAGCACTACTACTACCCATTGGGATAGTAATGTCACCAGTCCCCTTACAAGCTAATAGAAAGTAAAAGTTTCCTGCAAATGTTCTAACCTTTAGAGAGCCAGGAAAAAAAAAAAAAAAAAGAGAATGCAGGAACATTAAGTTATTGTACAATCTTTTGAGAAAAGAGTAATTCAGTCATTTCCCTCCACCTACGAGCCT